CCGACTTAGCGGCCGCACTACTCGTAAGCGTACTATTCTGAACTCGGATGGCAATGAGGCGGCGAACAGAAGCTGACTGTATTGGTCAGTACGTAATCGCAAGGTACTAACTGCCTTGAACTGTCACGCACTGCATAACCACTAGAAATCTGCAGTCGATGGCGAAACATGTATTTATAAAATCAGGTACCCCAGAAGAACTGAATAGCGCAAACTATGGCACACAGGACACCTTCTGCGGGCCACAAAGGTGCGGTGATACGACCCCTGGTGGCCACGGGCGGGCATCACCGGCGTCGCGCCACCACGAGCATCGATCATGTACTGCTTACGTCCTCTCCACCGAGCAGAGCCCCACAGGGCAGAGCGCGCCCGATACCGGAGCCAGGCTAAGGCCACAATGTGTGAATGAACGGAAGTGAGGGCCACGGGGAGGCCCAACACGCAGGCTGTTGCTGCGCCTGTTTTCATAAAAAGTCACACACCCTAAAACGCATCAAAAAGGCAGGCGCACATGAGGCGTAAAAGTTGACGGTGACGTGTCCTTCAGCGCGTGCGGGGCGGGTGCCGACCACCATCGTGTGCAAATGCGCGGACTGTTCCTGAAGAGTATGACGTGTATGCAAGTATCGCGAGCACGGTTCACACATGCCCTGAAAGGACGCTGCCAAATCAATACGACGGAACTTCCAACGTCGTAGTAGGCCCGGGACGACCGACGATATCCCGGCGCTATCATCGAGCAAACATCGCTGATGGCGGGCATCCCTCGCCCTCAGCCGGGCCCCGAGTCGTCACACAGCTCAGTCCGAGTCGCCGTCGGCTCGGCTCGCGCCGTTCGGGCGAGCCGCCGCCGGTCCGTCGCCCTGCTCCGCGCCCGAGTCCTCGTCGGCAGAGCGCTTTGTCGCCGCCGCGCCGTCCGACAGCAGTGCCTCGTCGCCAGAAACATCCTGAGATCACACCACCTGCACTCAGCGCGGCACACAGACGGCCGGAAACAGGACGGTGGACGGGCACAACGATCTATTGTGTCGTAGTTCACAGTTGGCCTGAACGCACGTGTTATGCTTCACGTGCCAAACAATGGCATCAGCCTCTCCATGAGACTGTGCCGAAACCATACCACGTTGTTGCCACGCGTTTTGCCGGTTAGATGGGTGACAGAGTTGCTCATCTGCACAGTGAACGCATTGACATTGTAAAAAGGAAAGTCTGGGGGCCAAAGTATCCGGTATAACTGAAGCCACTTTGCTGACGCAGAACACCACAGAACATGTAGCAGTGGCTTAGCCAAGAGCCAAACAAATAACGAGTGGCACACAACAATCGGCTGTGCCGTGCATGGGTCACAGTACTGATGGTCACTGAATTTTGTGAAGTGCATCTCGACACCTTCAATACTGCAAACGCCGGCACATTTGGAAGCCGCGCTGTGCCCGGCAATGACGCACCTTCCAAGGGGGCGGCGCCTGGTCCTCGCAGCGCTTCATGGCGTACTTGTAGACGAGGAAGCCCGACTGTCCCGAACACAGCCAGTACTTCTCCACCCAGTAGAGCCCTGGATCACATAACAATTTACATTACAAGGCCGCCAGGGTTTATCGCCATCCCATGAGGCGCATGCGCAGCAGTACTTGTCCTCGCATCACCTTATGGAGTCAGCACCCGATGTCAAACGTTTCAGCGAAGAACGCATCGTCGCATGACTGTCAACGCTCCTGCAGGTTGACTATCCGCTCGCAACGCCCGGCCTCTGCGTCAGCAAGCAGAACTAACAGGAGGGGCAGGGTTTATATCCGACCCCACTGCTATGCAATAGCCGACCAGAGCTGTGCAAAACAAACACCGTTGGAATTACCCCTATCGCGATGAAGGTTTACAAAGCCGACGATTGCTTGTCAGTCCTTGGTTAAGGCAAAATTAGATTAGGCCGCTAATTGCTTTCTAGTCTGCGTTCAACTGACCCACAAACCGATTTCAATGAGAAAAACATAACTAAAATTGTGACGGTGGAAAGCATTTTACTAAGAACAAATGACGGTGGTCAGTACGGGCCAGTGACCAACGGCGGGAAGTTGGGCCAAAATTATACTTCCTGGTCAGGAAGTGATAACGGCAAGCACAACGTGTATGAATTCGACCAGCAATGCTCCGAAATGACCAATTACCAACGCTTGAGAAGAAACGTCGATGACCAGAGCATGACACTTACATGCCAGGGACAGCACCGTAAATAGGTTATGTAAAAACACGACGCGGAACAACCATGCTAAAGCACGTAACTTAGTGAAAATGCTCTTAGGGAGCATGTTTGAGTCCAGCACTCCTAACTAAAGGTATAGTCATCAAACCACCGGAGTATGCTGGAAATTGACACAGTATATGCACCGACAGTTTCATCTAGCTCATGCATCCTCGCAGCCATGCTGCAAACGTACGGGGGGGGGGGGGGACTGAGTCTTCCTCGAGCCTGGAATTACTGTTTGGGGTACAACACGGATACAGCCACAAACCTTTCATCGGCAAGATTAATGGGGTTGGGAATGCGTTTAGTTTCTTCGTACGTGTCCCCATCTTGTTGGTGCTGCACACCCAGCTACAATCACAACAGGCAGGCAACACTGTCACCCAGGCAGCTCACAACACTGGCCACGACCATCGCGTCAATGATTTACCCGACAAGCACAGAACCGTGTGGCATTTTCTGCTTAGCTGCATGTCGAGCCACGCTCCAGCCGAAAGCAGACGAGATTGATCCCTCTACAGGTTGCATAGTCACCAAATGCCAGCTCTCTTTACAGCAGATCAAATGACCGTCCTGGCTGCTCTACATCGAAACCCCTGCGCGAGGGTGTGCAGTGCCGAGGTGGTTCCTGCCGGTGCTACTATGCAACCATAGCGAGTCTGCTATGCTACCAGAGCATCTGCTATGCAGGCTTCAGAGCAATGGTCGGAACATATCGCGCGTTCTATCGCATCGCACCCACAAATAAGTTTTGCATTCGGAGCAACGACAAAGTATCCCTTTGGGCGATAATGGCCAGCTACATAATTTGGCAAAATCAGCTTCTAGGCTTCAAGTTATACATGCTGGTGTTGCTGCCTCTAAAAAACGCGCCACAGCTAGCGTGACGTCACCGGGTAGCGATCGCATCACCACTGTTTGCCAGAATTTAACGCCCACGCGTCTGAATACCCCCATGACGTCGAATCTACTCGGCACGCCTACCGGGATCAAAACCTAATCAGAAAACAAGCATGCACTACTTCAGCAGCCCCAAACGCCCACAGCCTGGCCGGAGGGGTGTCGCGAGTCCGCGGAACACGTGAGCTAATGGTCGCTACGGCGTGATCATGGGAATGACTACGGTTCAGCTCAGTTTTTTTTTCTGCGACGATCAGCGGAGGAGATCACGCAGCTGACGATAGTAATTCATGGCGCAAGATAATCGGGAGGGTGACAATAAAAACATCGTGCCTTGGCAGCAGCAAGTCGAGGGGGTCGTAGAGACGAGGTCATGCAGACACCACCCCCACACCCAGAGTGTGGGTTGGCCCACTCAAAGCCGCCCCCCTCTCGAGAGCCGGATAGCGAACCGACACCGGTCAAGGTTTCAAGTCAAGGCCGTCTCGTTACCACCGGCCGGCGGCGGGGTGTGGCACGGGCCGCTGAGTCCGCAGCGCGGTAGGCAGCCTGCGACCGCACAAGTGGCCGCGGCCGCGCCGCCACTGACCGTCGTATCTGTAGCCCTGCTCTGGCGCGTACGGGCTGCGCAGCTTGTAGCCACGGATCACGCGCACCGGCGTGCGTGTCTCGACGTTGCGGCTCAGCGCCAGGTTGCCGCGCGTCAGCTGCTGGTCCCGCGACTGCGGCGCCGTACGCAGGTTCTGGCGACACCGGCCGTCGTCATGGCAACCGACGGCGGCGTCCGCCGATCGTTCCGGCGGCAGACAGCAACATCGGCAGATACCACTTCGGCATCGACAACTCCTGGACAGGGTTTCGGTGGCAGCCGATGTTGACGCTCATCTGATCTGGTCTAAAGAGAACCGACATTTTGCTAAGATAAAACCCATGGACGGATCCACCTCGTCCACATGGTAATACATTCGGCTTTGTAGGGGCATGCTACATCAAGTACAAACACGCTACATCAGGTACAGAATCATATACGAAATACGTCTGCAGTTTTTTAGACGCCGCACAGTAGCCGACGTTGAAACAGATCACGTGCTGCACAACGAGACCTACCTTCGGCTGCGCAGTTGTTCCCTTCAGATCTCTTCCACCCTCGCCAGTGTAGGTAAAACACTCTCCCCAGTCCACATCGTCCTCGTACCTGCAATGTATTTATCGAAGCCAACTTCAAGAAAACAAATCACCTCTGCATGGAAGTGGCCAGCTCAGATTGCTGCACGGCGTACGACGCTCAGCACACACCTTCAAGCGTAACTCCAACATGCTCTACTTTCTGAGCATGGGGCGATTTGCTCTTCGTGCATTTAAGCCGTCAGCTTAAGTTGCCGGCATTTAAGTTTACCCCAGTCAGGCGGGTCCGCCTCCTGCCGTAAAGAATGCGGCAGATTCGCCTCCTGAGGTAGGGTCTGGCAGATCCGCCCCCCCCCCCCCCCCCCGGGAAAAAGGTATGGCATATCCGCCTCGGATGGGGTAGCAAGTCTGGCGGGTCCGAGTCCTGGGCAAAGGGTCTGGTCGGTCCTCCTGGTGTAAAGGGTCTGGCGGGTCCTCCTATGTGAAGGATCTGGCGGGTCCGTGTCCTTGGGTAAAGGGTTTGGCGAGTTCTCCTGGAGTAAAGGGTCAGGCGGATGCTCCCGTGTCAAGTGTCTGGCGGGTCCGATTCCTGGGACAGAGGGTCAGGCAGGCCGTTGTCTTGAGGATCAGTCTGGATGTCAGTGTCCTTACAGAGAGGGTCTGACGGGCTCGTGCCCTGGGAAGTGCGTCTCTCACCCGCCGCTGAGCGCGATGCTGTAGGCGCCGTCGGGGCCGGCGTGTATGCCGGCCACGGTCGGCCGGTGCACGCCGTCCGCGCAGCACTCCCGCCGGGTCTGCCACCACGTGCCTACCGCCACGTATGGGCACGGAGCGCAATCAGCCGGGTCTGCCACCATGTGCCCACCGCCACGTCTGGGGTTGGAGCACACTCAGACAGTCTGCCACCATGTGCCCACCGCCACGTCTGGGGTTGGAGCACACTCAGTCGGGTCTGTCCTGTGCCCATCGCCACGTTTGGGGACAGAACACATTCAGCCGAGTCTGCCGTCATGTGTCCATCGCCACATCTGGAAACGAGGACATGTAAACGTCTTACGGACGGAGAGAAACGCCCAGGAACGCGGCCCACATTCAGGGTCACACACGGGTACAACGGCAACCACTCAAAATAACGATAGAGACAGGAGGGTGTGGCCACAGGGCGAAGACAATGCACGTACTGAAAGCCACACCTGAAAGTGCTGAAACACACTTAAGTACCAATCAATACAGGATGGTCGCAATGCATGGGATATTGCTGATTACATGAAACGACCAAAAGTTAAGTCTTACAGGGTGGTTAATTCAATGAAAACGTGTCCGCCATTGCAGAATGGCAAGTTAATATTAGGTACATTAGTAATATAAACTCTCGCACAGTTTCATTTTAAATAGCGACACGAAATATGCGCACAACATACCCGGTATGGTTCCATAAACCTTCTCTCGGTTCTTAGGAACGGCAACCTTGATGCGTGGCACGTATGGCTTCCTCTTGTTCGGTCGCTCCTCTTCGTAATCCTCATCGTCCGAATCATCTAAATCTGAGTCGCCAAAGTCCAGGGAAGAAAACTTCGTCGGCTGGAAATTGATAATATCATTATAGCTTTTACTAGCCCAGCAATAAATAAATATATAGCCTTCGAAGCAATTCTTCCCATTCCAAAACGATGGCCAAACCAGCGCATCGGGCACGAAACTGCACCAAATGAAAAGCATATCCGAAACACCAGGGGCTGAGAACCAACACCACACTTGGTTCAGTTCAAGCGTCATACACGTCGCGTCCACCGAACGGCAAACGATTAGCCGAGGACACGTGATCAGCCGTTCGGCCAAGGCAACGGCCCTTGAAAGCCTCACGGCCACCGCCAGGACAATTAGGCAGCCAACAGACATCACGTCCGTCAAGACAGTTCACGCTGAAACCCATACAAGCGGCCCATTAAAAAAAAACGATCAAATATGTGGAGGCGCAGGATCCTCTAGAGGAAATGTGGAAGATCTTCACGACGTGAGCACATCGATGCGCTCCAGTGCGCGGGGAATGCAAGAAGTTTGGCTTCTGTCGTCAGTTTGCACAGCTTTCACTCCCAATCAGCAAATGTTCACCAAATCAGAATGTCGTATATTTTAAAAATCGTCTTTGTCCGATTACGTCAAATGTGTCTCGAGATTTTCCCGAAAGGCACACAATTTGGGTGACATAGTAAGGTCACCTTTACATCCGAGCTCAGCTCACACAAACGGCCCTTCAAACACGCCAAAATATGTCATGTGGAGAAATCTCACGACGTGAACACACCAGTGGCTCCAATGCCGGGGGGAATACAATAATTGTTTTCTATTGAAAGTTTCACAGCTTGAAATTCCAAACAGTAAAATGTCCACCGAATCAGACATGTCCCATATTCAAAGCAGTCATTTTCGTATGATAAAGTCAACTGCATCTCAGTCTTTTTCGAATTTAACAAAATATGTGATACTCTACAGTTAATCGCCTTTTCTCCGAACTTTAATTTTCCACAGAGATTAGCATGGCAGAAAATGGGGTCAATTTTGTCGGGCCATCGGCAAGTTCGTTAACATGTTGAGCTGGTGGGACACATAAGTTCCACCGAAATTGGGCTGGAGATAACAGGCTCTAAACCCACAAGTGACGGTGAGATATCTCACCCAGCATGGCATTCCATCGAATGCCATTTTGGCAAAGGAAGTGTTCCATGTCATGTCTGCGGACTCAAACCCGCTCTGACCTCAAGGAGACTATTACCAACCAATACGCGTAGCTGGGATTTCGCTCAAGCGGGGGTCATATTGTGTCTCAGGGAAACATTTCCTCCAAGGCTCCCCTCTTCGCGGCTGCCGAGGGCAAGGCTGTTTATTTTTATTCGGAGAACCTTGTTAGGCTCGGGAGCCTATGCTGATGTCCCGGGGGCCATCACCAATGCCTTGATGATGGTCAATTATTGGTTAAATAAAAATTGACGTTGGTGATGATTTGGAGTTTTAGGGTGAGTCGACTGAAAATGGTCATGAAGAGCTCACAGCTACCATATTATTAAGCAGGGTAGGAATTCAGACGGGTTTTTGAAACATTACGTAGTTCGTGGGAGTCATTCCATCACATGCACAGTCCAGTGGCATCACCGGACTCCTCCCCCCCCCCCCCCCCCCCCACTTCCACTACACCTGAATATGGGGACGTCAACTCTGCCCGTAACTGTTCTGCTCACAACATGCGTTCATCTTTGAGCTGTTGTAGATTTTTCTGTCGAATGCAAAATTTTGCAGAGACGCAATTTGGAGTCAAGCCTTACCACCACACGCACGCAAAGGCATTTCTTTGATTCATACTTGGGACTGCTCTTTCCAGAGCGTTAACTAATATGAAACGATATTACGATTACGATAACTGGAGCAAGAGAAAACCACTCCTCTGATCAGGCACATGTTGCAGCCCAATGCAATGAGAACGCAGTCGATTGCCAAAGACTGTCAATTGGTCTCGGGCCCCAATCGGTAAACATCGTAAGGGCTTAGTCCAACAGCGGTGAGTTTTGGTTCATACCGCAGAAGGCGTTCGGTATTCAGTTCATCTCGCCACATATCCGTCATATGTCCCACGGAACCATACGACTACCTGTCTCTGACAACCGATGCCGGGTGTGCTATCCCCAGCACTTTCGGTTCGCGCCGCACGCTGGATTACACGCGCATGAATCAGCTGAGCCTCTCAAGCCGGGAGCCAGCAGGTCGGACATGGCAAAGGAACACGTCGCTGAAGCTCGCGCTGGCAATCCCAAGCCCACATCCGTCGAGTGTCATGGGTTGTGAAATGTATTGACACAACGAAACGACGCCGCCTCGAGTGGCACCGGTCACCCCACGGCCGATAGCGCTCCGCGGAGCGGCACACATGGTCCCGAGATCGCTTTCAGCCGCGATTTATCCCCCGCGTATTGCAGTCCTCCAGTGAGCGGGCATCAGCCGCGGCGCAAGCATCTGTCGGCACGTGCTTCAGCAGTCCGCCAGCGGCCAGCACACACTCGCAGACTGAACCACGGAGCCGGCGAGACGGCAGAGAACACGCCCAGGACTGCAGGCTGACTCGCATAACCCGCCAGGCGCAAGCTGTCGTCGGCTGTCGACGTCACACTGCATGATGCTGGTGCAGACGTGGACAATTTGAAGTGGAAGAAAAGCACCCAGACATGGCACATTGTACTGAATAACCTGGACGTCCAATGTTCAGCCATCCTCCCTGGCTTCTCCTGGCGTTAGCAGACAAGGCGGTATTCTAGTCTTGAAGGCCAGTGACAGAGCGAAAATGATCGTCCCTGCTCACAGGTGTGCGAAGAACATCCCACTCCGCAAACATCCACCAGGGAGGAACACAATGAAAAAGTTGGCATCATAAAAACAACTTTATGCAGCCTGGATTGAAGAGATTAGACAAAACAAGTAGTTGTTCCAATTTTCCTAGAAAGAACCACCTATTAAACAAAACAGATCTTCAGTCCAATAAATCCCGACCTGAGCCACTATAAAGTCTGCGCTTTGTCTTCGGCCGTAACGTTATGAGCGTTATTTTGAGTAAACCGCCTTCAATAGGTGCTGGTGCTGGATAAACGACATTATAGGACAAAACAACGATTATATTAATGGTACTCAATATTTCGAGATGTGGCCGTGCTTAAGAGGACTACGATGAGCAGCTCAAGATGACGACCTTGGAGATGACCCCAAATCGAAATATTGGCTATCGCCAATGTAATCGTAAGATCTACAACGTCGTTCGAAGGCAATGTATCACATTTCTGTGGGAGCTCGCAATGCCGAAAAACCGGGAGCAGAGGGCCTTGCTTTCTCATATCAAGGACACCTTCTTATACATTTTATAGAAAAAAAAATTTGCATGCAGGACCAATCACTTGGACAAGATTAAAACAGACATTGGAATGTTGATCGACCCTTTTGCTCTCAAGACGCACAACACAATAAGGCAGCTGCTGGCCATTTAACATCATCGGCGGTTGGACGGGGATAACACGCCAGAAATCCAGCGCTATACTTGTGCAGCACGTCTCAGTGATGTTGTTGTTTATTTGGAGTTTAGGGGCGCGCCGACTGCGGTGGTCATTTGGCACCCATAACGAGTATTGTTTTACCATCTATTAAGCAGCATAAATGGTTCCAAAGTTGATGTGTTTGAGAAATAAGAAAATCTGTTGAGCTCCAAGAAATCGTGAGTTGTCTCCAATCATATCAATCAGGGTAAGGGGCGAGTCATGCTGTCCAAAGTAACGTTGGCGTTCTTCCACGAGGCGCAGGCAAGACACAAGGACATGACGAACGGTGAGGACAGCGCCGCATCGATGGCAGATAGGTTTACCGGCTCCCTCCAACATATAGCCGCGGGTTGCGTACTGTGTCCGATGCGTAGTCTGCAGAGCATCACCTCTTCTCGCCTCATTTTGCGGAAACACGAAAACCACTGACCCAGCTGAGGTTTTATCTCTTTAAACTTATTACCCTCCATCTGATCCCAGCAACGCTGCCACTTGTCATGCAGGAAGGTTTTTATTGCAGGGTAAGTCTCTGGCAGGAATAGAGAGCGAACACATGGAGCCAGCGCTGCTCGCCTGGCAACCGCGTCAGCCACCTCGTTGCCCGCGATTCCAACGTGACTAGGGACCCAACATAGCATAACTTTCTTTCCGGCCCGATCCAATTGAGTCAACGTATTAAAATGTCCTGTATAAGGGGACATGATGGATAAAAATACTTCAAACTCAGAACAATGCTCAGAGTCCGTCAAAATGAGATGTAAAGGTTCGTCGCCGACTTCAATCAA